TTTCCACTTGAAAGCAAAGTAATCTTGACTTTTTACAGCCAGCAGTAAGCAGAAGAATGCATCTTTGAGATCCAGTACTGAGTACCAGGTCCTGTCTGGGGGTAAAGAGCTTAAAAGATTATAGGGGTTAGGAGCTGTGGAGTGGAGGTCAGTCACCTGCTTGTTTACCTCTCGGAGGTCCTGGACTGGTTGGTAATCATTAGTCCCAGGTTTTCGGACCAGTAGCAAGGGCGTGTTCCAGGCTGATTGGCACTTCTGTAGGATCCCCAGCTGGAGCAAATGGGCAATTTGGGGTCGGATGCCTTCGTGTGCCTCTTGGGACATTGGATATTGTCGGACAGCTATAGGACTGGCCTGAGCCTTCAGCTCTATGTGGACGGGGGGCCGGTTTTTAGCCTTCCCTATCCCTGAAGTTTCTGCCCATGACTGGGGATAGTTTTCTAACCACCAGTCCATCTGTCCGGTCTCCCGCCCTTGTTTTTTAAACAATTGGTATTCATCTTCCAGCCTGAGAGTTAGTACCTGGAGAGGCTTTCCTTGTCGATTTAACACCCAAGGTCCCTCGGGGTCAAAATGGATTTGAGCACCCATTTTGGTGAGGACGTTTCTTCCCAGTAGTGGGTAGGGGCACTCAGGAATGACAATGAACGAGTGGGATACCCGGCCCATGCCTTGGTCCACCATTCTTCGGGTAGTCCATGGGTACTGTCTGTTCCCTGTAGCCCCCTGCACCCACGATTTTTTATTTAAAAGCGGTCCATCTGTTTGCAGTAATACTGAATGCTGAGCCCCAGTATCTACCAAGAACTGAGTGGGCTTCCCCTCCACTGTAAGGGTTACCCTGGGTTCGTGGAGGGAGTGCAAACCCCATCCCCTCTAATCACTGCCTTCCTGCAGGGCCAAACCTTTGGGGGCCTGAGGCTTTTTCCTTTTCTTGGGGCATTCTTGAGCCCAGTGTCCTTTCTCCTGCTCTTTTGCTTTCTCTCTTCTTTTTCTTCCTCTGACTCTCTATTATGATAAACCTTTTCAGCCACTTGCACTAATTCCCTCAATGACTTATCTTGTAACCCTTCAAGCCTCTGCAGTTTCTTCCTAATGTCTCTACTAGACTGGTCAATAAAAGCAACTGTCACTGTAGCCTTGTGCTCCCTACTACTAGGATCATATGGGGTAAACTGACAGAATGCCTCTGTGAGTCTCTCCAGAAATGCTGATGGAGACTCACTGGGTCCCTGGATTACCTCTTTTACCTTAGTTAAATTGGTGGGGCATTTTGCTGCCCCTCAGAGACCTGCCATTAGAGTCTGACGATAGACCTTCAGGTGCTCCCTACCTTCTGCTGAGTTGAAATCCCAGTTTGGTCTGGTCAATGGGAATCCTGCATCTATAACATCAGGGAGGAGGGTAGGTCACCCATCATCTCCTGGAACGTTCTTTTGAGCCTCCAGGAGGATTCATTGTTTCTCCTCGGTGGTGAACAGGACCTGGAGGAGCTGCTGGCAGTCATCCCAGGTGGGCAGATGAGTAAAGAGGAGGGATTCTACAAGGTTAGTGAGACCCTGGGGGTTTTCAGAGAAAGGGGGATTCTGAGATTTCCAGTTGTAAAGATCAGAAGAGGAGAAAGGCCCGTATTGTAAGGGCTGGTTGCCCTCTTCATTAGGAGGGCCATAAGCCCACAGAGGGAGGGTAGGAACAGCCTCCGGAGGGGCTGCTCACCTACTACACATCCCCTGCGTATGTCCCTCCCTTGCTCCTTGTGGGTCCTCCGGTGTAGCTGATGGGTGGGCTGCCTGAGGGCAGAGGGAAGGAGGATAAAGAGGAGGGGTGTCTAGGAGAAGCAAGTCCGTTTTGGTGGAAGGTAGGACCTCCGGTTTCTTTTCCATCTCTCGAAGAGCAAACACAGCCGATGGACCTGTTAGAGGAACAAAGGGACAGTCCCACGGAGGAGGGTCCGTGACCACATCTTCCCAGACAATGATATAAGGGACCTGGTCTGGGTGACTTCTAGAATTGAAATCAAAAATTTTTCTCTTTACTGCCGTGATCAGTGGCGGAGAGAAGGAGCCTTCAGCGGGCCACCCAAGTTGGAAAGTCAGCCACTCCAAAGAACAAAGTGCTACCCACTTATCCTTTTTAACCTGTACAGACAGATTATGAGCCCTGGCCTTCATGTCAGTCCAGTATTTCAGAGTCAGATTTAAAGAGGTCAAGACAGCCTGCCCCATTTCGCCCCAAAAAGTCATCAGTCCTAACACACATGCAACCAGACAAACAAAAACAAAAACACTGATGCACCCCTGCCATGGGTGCCACAACCTGATTATCAGAGAACTAGGGAGGGGTCTCCTTCCTAGAGATCTCCCGTGGAGCTGAACCCATTCGTCTCCAACATAGGAATCTGAAGTGTCCTTCAGGATTCCTGTGGTGCAGCATACCAGAATGTCTACCCGCCGCTATGGACCACCATAGACTGGTGACTCCGTATCGGAGCCTCCAAAATACAGAAACCAGACCGATGACTCCGTCCTGGAGCCACCGAAACCAGATTATAACAGACAACTTACAGCAGACAACAAAGACAGACACAGACAGACAGACAACCGCGGTACCTGCTCGAGTGATCCTCCATTCTCTAGTCCCCAGTCCCGGAGAGAGCCACTTTCCAACCAATGCACCAAAATGTAAGACTGGCCCGAAAGTGCAAATCTTACTTGTTGGGAAGGCTCATCTCACAAAGACCAGGAGGCAGAGATCGTTGCAATAAGCAAGAGGATTTTATTCCAGCATGCTGGGGTTGCTCCATCTTCAGGACAGAAGCGGCCCGAGCTCTTAACACAAGCACTTTTTATACAGTTTGGTAGGCAGATTTTGGCAATAGGATGAGTTGTACACAGCTTATCGGTCATCTGAGGTAACTTTTAAATTCATTCGTGGTACACAGGCAGGAACTGGGGACGTTACCCATCACCTAGCAGTTAGGCCTTTCCTGGAACTGGGTGTACTTTGGGTTCTTGGAATGGCCCACCCTTATAGTNTCTTGGGACTTGTATTTTTCATTTTTCAATAGGCTTTTAAAGATAATCTTTGCTTTTAAAGTGGTCTTGTCACTGAGTACACATATATCTGAAATAAATCAAATTGCTTCTGGTAGAATAAAATGGGTCATGCAGTTTTCATAAACAGAGCTTAATGACAATGATGTATCCTCCAAAAAACATGTCTTATCAGTTTTTTTTTTCAAAGAAGCCATTTTTTTTCTAGAAGAATTAGGAAATTTTAAATTACATTGACTGATAGATGTTTTATTGATATTATCCTAGTATCTGTTTAAATGTCATCTTAAAGAGGCCTTCCCCAACCATTCTATTTAAAATAGCCTCTCAACAAAATGTAGGCTCCTTGACAGCTGGGGTTTTGCCTTTTTCACCAATATATCCCCAGGGCCCAGAAAGAGACTCTTTCATGCTTAATCAACAACTGTTTTTACAACATATAGTGTATATTTAAGACAATACTTATTTTGGTGGGTTCAAAGTGTAATTTAGGATTTAAAAAAAAATCTTATGTGTTTTACAGTATCACTTGAAAGGGGAAAGTACTCACTCAAAAACAATAGCTAATTAATTTTTTTATAAGGAATTGCATAGCCTATGTTAGCTTCCTCCTCCCTCCTTCCAACCCATATTATTAAGCAAACTAAATAACGGGGATTGTAGATACCAAAAAATCNCAGCAAGCAGTTTCACAGAAGCGAATTGCATGTGTTATGAAAGTGGGGGTTAATTTCATCTCTACAATGGCATGATGAAAATAGATGAAGTGATAATTCAGACACCTGCAAGATCCTTGGAGATGGTGGATTTTTTACTTTACTTCTAATTTAAGTGTAGAGAAGAATTAAGATAGTATGTACACTGCAAGAAGAAAGCCAGTGTAAAAGAAGAGACCAAAACTTCAAGTGAAAGAGACACTTGATGGAGCAAAATCCCAGAGGATAAAGAAGGGGAATATAATAAATAGCGGGGGTGGGGAGATTTGATTAGCTTTGAAAAAGAGGAAAAGTAACTGAAATGGGAGAAAAGAAGAAATAATGAAAGTAAAGAAATTTTTTAATCTGTTAGAAGGAAAAATTGGGGGCATTGAATAAAATTAGAATTTTTATAAAATCAGTGTTGTCACATAGATACAATGGCAATAATTTTATCTGTGTCAAAAAGATTGCCACTTAGATGTGAACAGAGTCATACAAATAATAATAGTCTTCCTATGATGTAATGGAAATACAGTAAGTTTTAATGACATTTACAAAATCTTTCAGAAGCCTAGAGTATCTCCTTTGAGCTTTTGATTATCTTAGTATTTTAATATTATAATTACAGCATGTCAGTACTCTATTTAAAATGTAATTATCAAAGCTCAGAGGAAACTGATTCTTATGCATCCATAATTTCATACAATATAATTTTAGAGCTTGAGCTATTTTTATGTTATCATTTTAGTCATAGAAACATAGTTGAAAGTCTTGGGACTTGTATTTTTCATTTTTCAATAGGCTTTTAAAGATAATCTTTGCTTTTAAAG